TATGAGGGTCTGTTATGAAACGCATTTTATGAAGTTTTGTTATTAAATGAACCTTATGAAGTACCATTGTGCAGATAAAAATGGTCAAATGATGACATTTCCATATACTTTAACTTAGTCCATCAACAGAAAAAAATTCTAAACAAGGAGTTGCACAGGTAGGGTTAAGAAAATGTACCTTTGAAAACGTATCACATACAGGGAAGACTCAATGAGAATAAAACGAGAACGAATAAGTGGTAAATCACATGAAGTTCTAAGAGTCTAACATGCAGTGCATGTGTCTTATCGGCTACAGAGATTCTTCACGTTTCCAGTGAAGCCTAAAATTACACGTTTCGCTGATAACATCGAATACAAGATTACAAACAGCACTCTAAAGCTCTTGATTAGACATTGTTACTCCGCTACAGAACCTAAAACTTAGCTGGATTCATCAACATTCCATACTTAAGATGTAATTAGTCCCCCAAATTGTTGGCAGTTCACTGTAAATATTTCTTCAACTGACAACTTTTTGGTCTAATGTTATGATTAATATATAACAAAGTGCTTTCTTTAAACAAGAGGTAAATAGTCAGACATAAAACAAACCGGAATGGAGCATGTTGCTTATGATAACGTGGATTCTTTAAGGCTTCCTATAGCTTTGCTTTTTTTAATGCAGAACTATGTATTTTATTATGAGCAACAGGATTGACATTTCCCTTTTCAGCCCTAATAAACAGAGGGCTCAGCAGTTCCAGTTTAAGTTCTGGGACAGTAAGTTCTCACACAACATCATTAACAAACCACACAGTGTGATGGCCAGCTCTGCCAGGGCCCTCAAGTTGTTAAAAATCTCCTAAGACATAAAAAGCATATTTAATCTGTGAAGTAATAATTTTAGTAAGGCAGCCACCACTGAGTTGTTTCAGTAAGGTGACCAAAAAAATAAAAAAACCCAGAGAGAGAGAGAAAAACACTTGGGTCTAAGATCAAAAAGGATCCTGGAACCCAGTCTGGCTGGGTTGGGTCACTGTTAAGGCACTGATCCAAAAAGAGAGAGAAGAATATTATTAGGAAATAGTATTCACTTTTTTCACAAATATTATCTCCTCTAACTTCTCTTTTTTGTCTCTTTCCCCACAACTTGTGTAAACACACACACACACACACACACTCCTGTCTTCTCTTTCACCTTTACATTCTGTCACACAATTACACCTTGGGGACCTCAACTCATTTTCTTGAGATGCCAAGTACCTCATTAACATTTCTGAAAAATTAGTAGTCATTAAGAAATAAAATTAGATAAGTTTTTTTAATTTTTAAAAATATTTGGCTTTTTGAAAAAATAACTGTGAAACTTATAATAGGTTAGAATTTAATTGTACTATCATCAAATATGACAAATACCACATATCAAGATTCCTAAAATAGTCTATTAAACTTATAACACACTAGTTTTGTTTTCAAATATCTTTAGGATAAAAGGGCCAAGGTTTTACAGAAATGTTAAAGTTGAAATGATTTCATATAATTCTTACATTTTTGCTTATTTTTTTAATCCTCACCAGAGGATATGTTTATTGATGTGAGTGAGAGAGAGAGAGAGAGAGAAATATCGATCAGTTGCCTCCTGTACATGCCCACAACTGGGGATCAAAACTGCAAAATAGGTATGTACCCTGCCGGGGACCAAACCACAACCTTTCAGTGTGCCAGACAACACCTGAACCAACTGAGCTACCCAGCTGGGGCTGCCTATTTTCTAATTACAAAGGTCAGTTAAAGTTATTCTAGAAGTTAACACTACATAATTCTGTGTTTAAGGAAAGTAAAAGTTCCCAATGAACCCACTGTGCCAAAAGATAACCAGCAATAACTGGTTTCTACTTCTCCAACTCTTCTTTCCATACATACAGTGTCTCTCTCTCTCTCTTTTTCTTCTCCTCTGTGAAATGTATCTTGGTATCTCTTCATAATAGTATCTAAATTCCTTCATCTACATAGAGAAGAAACAAGCTGAATATGTGAAATATTGAGAGAAAACCAACAAGCAGCAAATACAAGGATATTTAGCCGTCTGATCATCATTGCCACTGTGGACCAAGCTGTTCCCAACTATATTACCTACAGAAAATTTTTGGAAAATATATTTAAAGGAATCCAAATTTTAAATAAGATACCACAAATTCAAACTAAGATAATTGAGGTTTTAGCATTGGGGCAGTTACTGTATTTTTTAAAGTGACATTTAGTGTTTAAAGCACTGAAGACTGATCTAGCCTTCCCTGGGCTGCTGGGCCTCGGCCAGTGAGTGTCCCTCACTGAGTGTTCCTTAAGTCAGCAGGCCCTTGAAACAAAGCACAATAGCAAAGTTTTAATGAGTGGTATAACCCTTGCCATTCAAAAGGTAAAAAACAACTGTTTAAAAAAGCAACAGACCGAAGGAATGGGTTCAACAATAGGCCTGGAGGACTTCATAGATACAGCCCTTGCTTATCAAAATAAAAACCACAGCAGAACAATTGTTTCAATCCTACACTCCGTTCTAAACTATTCTAAACTCTCTCCAGATTAATTGGCGTGTTGTCTCACCAAGCTCATTAAAAGAGAAACTTCTGGGCTCCTACAGCTCGGTTGGTGTCTGCTGTCCTCCCAAACTCGAGGGCTCTCCAGCAAGGACAAGGAGAACTTGGCAGAACCACAGACTCCTGAGCTTTCTTTACTGACAGTATTTCTCAGATTTATTTTTGAATTGCACTTAAAAAATCAGACTCCAAGGATCTTTTCATATTTGCTATTTTTTAACTGAAAAATTGACCCTTATTTATTCCCCTTGTGGTACTACCCGGGGCCAGTTCCATTTCATAGCTACTGAACAATACGCCATCCGCCCTGGAATCTGTGATGACTCGGACGGGTTATTAGATAACTCTAAAGAACTTGTCAAGCGAATCATGTAGACACTCAGGCATTTTAAGTTATGTTCCGAGGAGGTGGAAAGAGAAAATTCTTTTTTTTTTTCCGACACAGGTTTCCTCAACCCACCAACCCCCGTCATGGGGCTGCCAATGCCCTGACCTTCCAGTCTCTGCAGCAGAGAGCGAAGTTTGGCGGGAGAGAGACCCAGCAAATTAAGGCCTCTGTTCAACAAATATTTGCTCACCCACTCTACGGAGAGTGAAAGTTTGCTTCATGCTGCCTGCCAGGAGTAACATTTAGCGTTCTTAAGGAAGCTTGCTCAGCTGACCGCTAAGAATTAGACACCTCATATCAAGGTAAATAGATAGTCCAAACTCACAGAACATCACAGAAAAGCAAATGATTTACCAAACTCCCAATGTCACAGGAAAGCCAACATAAGTCCCATGAAATGGAATCTGAGTATGATTTGCTTAAAAAAAAAAAAATTAGACCACTTGTGTTGTTGGATGGTTTTAATCTGGTCATCTTAAATTCAAAAGCTACCTGACATAAGGCATCATTTTCCTGAAGTTTTACTTGCATGGCCCACTGAGTTTAGACTACTGAGACTGCCATTTATCAAGAAAATTTCTGGCTACCCAAATCCCACTCCCCAGTCCCCTCCCCTCCCATGTTCCAACCTTCACCTTAAATCACTGGGATATCTGTAAATCTGAAAAGACAAAAAGCCAGAGAAAGGAAGACATGAAGCTATTGGAAAAACGTCTGAGCTGTGTGGTTCACACTACTACACCCTCATCCCCAGTACAAGCAGAGGGAAATGAGGAGCCTGGGGGTTAGGAGGGGAGGAGATGCAAAGGGTGGGAGAGTGGGTGGCAGAGTGTGTGTGTGGTGGGGATGGGGGGAGGCGATCTGTCTACTAAGTTCATTCCCCAAAGTCCCCAGCTCCTAAAGAACGTGGATGAGCAGGACTAGGGCATGTCCAGGTTGTGCAGGCACGAGTTCCGCTTTTTATTTTTTTCTTCAGTAGTGAAATCACAGCTTCTTTTTCAAACCCTAAGAAGAATCTGAGGCGCCCGGCTGCTATTGCCAGTGACAAGGAGCAAGAGAGGCGCTTTCAGCTGTAGGTGCCGAGCCTCACTGCAGTCCAGGCATCTAGGGAAACCCTGACATTCCGGATGACTTGACAGCGATCTGGGATGGGGAGCTGAGGGTGTCGCGGTGACCCGAGCGTGGCGACCCCACCGGGCAGGCGGGCAGGCGGCTCCAGATTCCATAAACCAGCGGGCTGACGAGATTTACAGCACTCTTAGGCGGTGTGCTTTCCTTTCTCCCACTCAACCCCACCCCAACCCTCCTTTTTTTTCCTTTTCTTTTTTGCTTGACCACCAGCAGTTGGGGCCACCCTGGGGGTGGCTGGGAGCAACGGCGATTAGCGCCTTAATCCCCAGTCCCAACCCGAGGGGCGGGGTCGCCAGGCCGGGCGGGGACTGGAGCGGGGAGCGGGGACGCAGTGGCGGCCAGCTCCCAACGTCCCGCGGGCAGGTCCGGAGGCAGTGGGTGGCGTGGGAACCCGGGACCTCGGCACTCTGAGGAGCGGCTGGCAGTTCCCGGGGTGGGGATGTCCGCCAACTCGGGGCGCACAGGGGAGGAAGGGAGCGGCTGGACTAGGGCTGTAGCGGGGAAGGCGCCGAGGGGGAAACAGCGACCCCCAGTCCTCCAGGGACCTCCCCGCGCTGAGGGGCGACGTGAACCCTAACGCCAACTGCGGCCTTTGGCGACATTAGGGAGCCCCGCGCCCAGCGCCAGCGCTGAACACCTGAGGGGCGGGGACTCTCCCCCAGGAGAAGCGGGAGCCCCCACATCCACCTCCACCTCGCGGCTGTGGTGCTGGGCGTCGCCGGGGGGTGGCTCGGGGCGGAAGGCAGACCTTCCCCTAACCTGGGAGCGGCTCGGACCCAAGCAACGTCCGGCTAGAGAAGTTGGGGGCCGAGTGCGGGAGGCTGGGGTCGAGGCCCATGAAGCGCCGTGAGGACGGGCCAAATGCACGGTGGGAGTCAGGAGTGGGGAGAGTCGCCAGTACTTACCGAGTGGCTCCCTCATGCTGCCCCACGCCGCCGCCGCTCCGGCCGGCAGGGTACCAGCTCGACCAGCCCGCCTGCAGCCCCGGCAGCGGAGCATGCCCGGAGCCGCAGCAGCCACCCGCCCCGCCCCGCCCCGCCACGCCACGCCACGCCCACGCCCGCCCCGCCCCGTCTGTTGCCCCGCCCATTACCCCGCCCCGCCCGCTTGTCCTGGAGGCTCTGGCTGTCTGGTGGAAGGGCTGCAGCTGGGTAGGGTAGCTAGTGTGGCCCTCCTCCTGTCCTTGTCTGGGTGGGTCATATTGAAGCCACAGGTGGGCTGGCCACCTTTCCCTGCCTTTTCCTGACACTTGGATTTGGGCAGCTTCAACCCTGTGCGAATGTACACATGCACACACAGATATACATACAGAAAACACCAAAATACTCATGTACAGTCACACACAAAAGCACACACACTCATACAGTCACACAAATTCACACACATATACACGTGCATACACACAGACATAAAACAGACACATGAACATCTCTTACGCACAGAAACACACACTGAAGGCATGAAGGGCAGAAAACAGTGATGATGACAACAGTTAGTGCTTGGATTAACTTCTTTTTAAAAAGACATCTAAGAGTCTTAGCTATAGGCTAGAAGAAATCTCAAAGGTCAGCTGTGACAGATGAGGAAACTGAAGCCGGGAGGAGGATTTACCTAAAGCCAAGAGTAGGAGGAGGTCAGTGGGGAGTTTAGACCAGAATATTAATTACAGTCTGCCAACCACTCCAAGTTTCTCTTGCAGCAGAGATTAGACTGCTGCCAGGTCTGTTCAGGAGCAAAAGTCCTTGTACTATGGAGGGCAGAAAAAGGACATAAAATGCACAACTTCGCTGACGAGTTGGGGAGAGGGAGAGGATGTTGGCTAAGTCAAGTCCATGAAAGCACATGTGGATGGCAAAGTAGACTGGAGTCCCTGAAGAACAAACTTTTTAGAAAAACATTTAACCACACCATGGATTTAGAGCTGTGTTTTCTGCCATAACACCAATAACGCCAATAATATCTAAAGTTGTTTCCACTGTCACCCAATCTGAGCCCTTCACATTCGTTATTTTCTTTTAATCCTCACCACAATCCTTTGAGGTGGGTGCATCTGGAAACTGGGGCTCCGGGAGGCACGTAGGTAGCATGTAGCATAGTTAGCATGAAGACTACCGTTCTGAACCCTAACCATGAGGAATGTGCAGCCTAAAGGAGCAAGAAATCCAAACATACTAGAGCTGGGGCGGGTAGGGGAGGGATACTGTATTTTTCAGACCATAAGACGCACCCCCCCGAAATTTAGGAGGAGTAATTGTTGTTAATGCTGCTGTTGAGTTCTGTTTACATTTACATTGGTGAAATATTATGTTATTTATGTTATTAAATATTTTACCACATTTTTTTGCTTCAAATTTTTTTCCTGTTTTTCTCCTCTAAAACCTAGGTGCATCTTATGATTCAGAAAATACAGTTACTATAATCAGGTGCCATGCTGTGAATTATCCACAGTGCATCTGAAGATGGCAGTGGGCAGCATGGTCATGTGCTCAAGAAGCAGACAACTTGGGTCCCAATCTTGGGGGCTTCTGCTATGTCCTAGCTTTACTTTTGTTAGGCTCAATTTCCTCTGAAACAAAATGGGAATAATAACGATGCTAGCCTCACAGGAGAGCCATGAGATTGAAGTGAGATGACACTTTTTTAGCACTCAGCACAGTACCGGCACATTGTGAAAATGAAGGAAACATTGGCTGCTATCACTAATGCTCATGCTAATAGGGTTCTGTAGGCTGGAGCCGCTGGGGAAGGCTTTGTGGGAAGCACCTTAAAAGCATGTGGCTAGGCAGGGACAAAGGGTATCATCTCCAGCCTGGAGGATTAGGATGAGGAAAAAGAAAGAAAAGGAAATGCTGCAGCTTTTCTGAGAATTTGCAGTTATTAGCAGTGGTCACATTACTTCTTGTCATAAAAGCATCATTCAGGGATAGATTGTTTCAACAACATACAGTTCCCATTTGCCCTCAATTTGTCACCTCAGTGAAGTACCTTTTTGTTGTTGTGGAGCACCTATATTTGTCCAGTGTGATGCAGACGTGAATGGAGCCAAACATTTCCGCAAGATCATTAATCAGTCAGTGAACTGAGATTACGTTCTGGACACGTTTTCCCCGTAGAATAATGTTATATTGCTGGCTTTCTGGGTCACCCTCACAGAAGTTTTATAATATAACTGAAATGCCATAGAAAACAACATTGGAGCAATACTAGAAACGAAGCTAATGCAGCCCAAATAAAGCTTAATAAGAAATTGTGATTTAACAGAATGGCCGGTAAGGAAGGTAACGAGATTGAAATACCAGATTCTGGAAAAGACAGCTTAACAATTTTGCAGATTTATGTGGTTTCTTGACACTGGCTCTTTGTCATGATGACCTCATTTCAAAATGTTTGGCTTCTTTCTTTTTTCAATATTAATATGTCACTAGCCCTGCTCTAATGCTTTTGAGCCATGATGAAGACCATTCCCAGTGAATAGGAAGAATGAAAAAAATGAGGGTAGAAGGAGGTGGTGGTGCTGGGACCAAGAAGAAAGGTGGGAGATTTTTTGAAGATTTGGGAGTAGAATTACGGAGAGGAGAGGGGCAACGGTTGAAAAGATACATCGTTAAGAATGGGTGATTGTCTAAATTATAATGTGAGAAGACAGAGGCAAAGGACAGTGTGGTATTTCCCCACATGAAGATAAAAGTTGGTAAGGAAATTCACAGGGCCCTCTCCCCACACAAATCACCCATGCGTGGACGTGGAATGGTGGGCATGGGATGTGAAGAACCAGCCATATATATAGTATAAACATATGTATAACCTTAGGCATTTTTATGTATCCACATATGCAAATACACACATGTATATCTTATTATGTTTTCAGATAAAAGGACATTTCTTGCTAAGTCAGGTCTTTGTAACTCAGAAAGCACACGCATTAGTTTCATCCTGACCGTTAGAGGAGTCACATTCCTTCTCCCAGTCACCACCCACACCCACTTTCATGCAACATCAATCCCATTCTCCCACCTACATGATCTTAGGAGATTTAAACACAGGAAAACATATCCACTACCTACATGACATAAAATATGCTTCAGGACAACTTTCTGTGCGATGCTGTGAGAAATCCTGTGCTGCGTGGGAGTGTGTGCCCGTGTCCAGCCTGAGTACCCAAACGTCCCCACCCCCCTTTCTCTGAGACCTGGAGAAGGGATTTCAGACTCAGGAAGGAACTTGGACTATTGAGTCATCAGGGCAGATGTGCAAAGACCAGAAAAAGAATGCTTAACGGCTTTCTTTAAAAAAAAACCCCCCACAAAAACAACACCCCTTGTTTCTTTAACTTGCTATTTTTTCAAGGACCTTAGAATGACCCTCCTCCTTCCTAGTCATGGGCCCTTCTGTGAAGACCTTCTAGAAGGTTTCCTTTAGCTGGCTTCGATTGTCTTTGATGTTTTTCTCAGCCTGAAAAACACTACCAGGTATCATTTTTTAAAAGATTAATGTTCTTGATAAAACTTTGAAGTTCCTCTTGTTGGCTTGTTCTAGAAAGTCAAACAATGAATATAGGAAAACCAGAGACAGGGTTTCAACAGGTGCTCATAAAATGTTTGTAGATATCGACATGCTGTATGTTAATTCAGAGGTTGTGCCGCATAATTATTTTTAAGCATGAAATCTGTTTTTTAAAATGTGTTCCATGGACCACCTACTTCAGGACCATCTGCAGGGGTTCCTGGGCCTCATCAACAATGGGCACAATCAGAATTTAATTTCTAATTCCTACAGTTGAGACCCTAAAATCTGGACTTGAAGTACATGCCCAGATAAGAGGCAGGGATACAGCTCAAGGAATAGAAATATTGTGTCAAGAGCTAACAGAATGATTGGTACATAATAAACAAACAAGCAAAAAGACAGTAGCCGTGGACTTCAGTGTTGCGATGATAAAGAATAGCACAGCAATGTCCCTTGGGAATCGAGTGCAAGAGGTGTTTGTTAACTGTTTCTTGGAAGATTTGACACTTCCCAAACAGAAAACTTTACACCCCTAGGGGTGAAGAAAAGAATAACAAACATTTTTCAGTCATATGCCTTCACTCTAAGAAGAATGGATCTGTAATTATTTGCTATCTCTTTGTCAGCTCTTTCCTGCATAAGGCTGCACGTTAATGGAAACCAGCCCCTCTGCCTCTCTCCCGAGCTGTGTCACCAATCACCAGAGCAAAGGGTTGCTGTTTACTAGTGGCTGACAGAACATTCCAAACATCCCCCTGACCAAAATCTACAAATCTTTGCCAAATTCATAAGGAAAACCCTGCTTCCTTGTCCTCCAGGGAATGACAGTGGCTGGCTGGGATCCCAATGGTACAAAGGTGATACAGATGTGGCTTCAAGAAGACAGTGATGTGGCCAGATATGGGCACGGGCGCTGCTCTCTGCCATCAGCACCAGCTAATCAAGAATCAACCCAAATTAACTTGAGTATATCCTTTAACCCTGTGTGACTTTTTATTTAAAAAATGTGAATATGTGAACACCTATGAAACAAGTTAGTTACCAACATTAATTGCAAAAAAGAAAAAAATGAATCTTCATTTCAGGAGAGGAAGGCACATCAGAGTGTCATTGCGTTGGTCATAACACAAGATAGAGCAACACAAAAGTGACGGTAGGTTGGGAGGAAGGAGTGAGCACCGCTTTTCATTCAACATTTTTCACACATCAGACACTTGGCTGGGCCTTGACTTAAGTTCTTCCATGCATATAAGGGTAGCATTTATTACCAGGGTTGCATGATTTTAAAGTAGTGATCATAGTTAAGCATTGAAGGGAATGTAAACCTTCCTATAGGAAGATATGAGAAACTCGTCTTCCATGTCTTTGCTTGTTTGCCTCCATAAAAGTTCCATAGCATTTTTTTATCTGCTAGCATAGCATTGATTATGGTACACCTTGGATCTGCTTTACTGGCACACACAATTAGTTCAGATAACAGATTCTGAGTTCCTGGTGGAAGGGACTGTTCAACCCTGTCCTAAC